TTCAGCAAAACTTTTGTTAGGAAAAATATTTTTTCCCTGCGGGGTGGAATTTCTGATTAAAAATTAGGGAAGAGTGAGATCGACCCCTGAGCAGGAAATAGAGTTGGTCAGAGATGTTCACTAGAGTGTGGGAGATGCTAAAGGGTCTCTTGGCTAATTCAGACAAAGACCTTGAGCCAAGATTAATCTTCCCTTTATGACACCGGGATGTGAGAGATGTAGGTTTAAATTCTGAAGTCAATCAATATTCAGATATTTGTACAAAGCAGGATCTCTCTCAGTCCCTCTGTAAGAATATCTTGTTGGAGATCCACCCAAGAACAGTGTATTGCCTATTGGCTATAGCTTCATTTGGGATGTATGAAGGTGATGAGTAAGATCTTGAACCTTATCTCCCAGGTTGAAGCTTTTCTAACACACACCACTAAGTATTGTAGTAGGACCTCTCTTTTTCTCCCTGTCTTTTGCATCACCCCATATTCTCTTGCTCATGAATATGAAAGTCTTCAGTGTTCTCCTAGTGTAAGAGCAAAATTTTTAAGTTGTTCAGTTTTGCAGAATGTAACAATTCTTCCCACCTCATTGTGACACATTTCTGTGACAGTGTCATACAATTGCATGTTATGTTTTCCCTTGTTGCTGGGAAAGACTAGGTTCTTCTCTTCCTTTTTGCTGATTGTTGACAGGCATCTCTTGAATGTACTGAAATTTTTCTTGGTATTCCAAAAATTAATTTCCCAGGTTAACTTACTTAGAATTTAAATCCAGGAGATTAAGGAGAATTTAACTACAGAAATGTTTAGTGCCTAGGTGCCTCGCCTGTGTTGTGGAACCCACAGTTCTAATTTAGGCATTCAGACTTCTTGAGTAAAGTATGGGATGAGTTATATATCTGATCACAGTAGTTACAAAGACAGTGTCTGCAGTGTGAATAGCCTAAATCAGGCAACGAAAAACAAACCGACAAATGTGTATTGGAATCTTAAACACCATAGCTTGGTAGGTCGAGCTCTGTCTTGCAAAGATGAGTGTGGAAATCTTTTCTTTAAAAAGCATGTCACAATGTAATCCTTTCTTTCAAAATCATGCTAGTAGCAATGGCTGCCTCCTTTTGGCCTAAAATGTAGGGTTAAAATACAGGTCTTGGCTGTAGAGTATCAATTAAATTCCTTTTTCTGTCTTTCATATGTTGAAATGCACGTCCCCCACTTCCTTTGGATTGGTAAGATGATAAACATTTAAGTTAATTGGAAGTATTGCTATTCAGGTCTTTCTGTTCTTACGTCTTCTACCAATTAGAATAAGAAGCTGTGTTCTCTTTAGTATTTCTGTCAAGCCTACTGAATCTTTAAATATTTCATGCAAAATAGAAAAGCTTCAACAGGGAGAGATTAAAAGATCTGCCTGCAGCGAGGTTCCCAAACTCACCAGTATAGCAATAGGTACATTGCATTATCCTGGGACTGCAACAACAGGACTGCTTTGTGAACCAAATACAAGGAACTTCTGTATCATTGGCTGTAGTCGTACTGGAGGTTGGAAACTCATCTAACCAATCTGCCAAGGTGTGGGAAATGTGAATTTGAATTATGTTAGGTGGAGTCGAAGATCGAATCATGTTTTGATAATTACAGATGTAAATTTTGTGCTGTTGGGTGAAAGGCAAACTCTGTCCCTGCGTAGAGCCTGGTTAACAAACTTTAAGTTGCCCCTTGTAAGTAATACAGGTAGAGGAACACCTGGCATGAGGTGATGTTTGCACCTTGCCCTTTTAAGATTTACATTTGAGGTGGGCCTTAAGGGGCTTAGATCTGCCAAGAGAAATGTACTTTGGGCATAACCAGCAAGAGACTTACTAGAGAACTGTGTTCACAAAAATATCTTTGTGATTTGTAGGTGTAGATATAATTTGTAGTGAGGCTTAAAGACCAATTTTCATTACTTTGAAACCCAGGGAATCCTCAAGGTCTGAAATAAGAGCAATAAGCTTCAAGCAAAGTACAGGTTCAGCATAATTTCTTTGACTTTAATTATGTTACCTTTATTAAACTATTTAAGAAAAACATGATGGGTACTTATTCAGCAGAGTGACGTAACCAAGCTCAGTGGCATTAAAAGTATTTTTACATGTTTATTTCTAGATAGGACAATTTCAACAGTATTTTTCAAGTTTGATTGAGGTCTCTAGTCAGGTCCTGGAAATAGGATTAAGAACCAGTGGCTAGTATTGCATGAACTTGGGAAATGTTTTGCCTTTCTGGGATAGTCACTGATTTACAAGGGAAGTCCAAGAAATAGTGAGAAGCTGGTAAGATTTGCCATGTCCTTCAAAGGGAAAAGGATGTTTTCTTAGAAATTATATAGAAGACAAGCTATGTTAACTGAAAAAGTAGTTTATTTATGGTGCCAGCTAATAAAGGGTATTGTTGTGTTATTCTGAAAATCATAAAAAATTTTTGGAAAGCAGATAAAAGAACCCATTTTGCATACATCATGCACGTTGGAAAGGAGTGGGTGTCAGAAGCATAGAATAATTTTCTATGGTGTATTTTCCAGTTACCTTGCACATAATGAAGTTTGTTCTCAGCTGAGCAGTTCAGAGAACAGTGATAGTAATTCATAAGCTCAGTGCTAACCCTTCTCTTGCCCCACCTCTTCAGTTTTCCTGGGAAACTGAATTCAAGGCAGTTGCTGACCATTTTTGTTGGGTGTTCCAAACACTCTTGTCCTTACTTAACAGACTGTTTAATAAATACTGTTTGTAACTGTTACTAATTTTTTTTTTTTTTCACATCATGTTTCTGAATCATATAATAGATTCCAGTTTTTTGACCCAAAACTTGCACGGAGGATTTTCCAGCATTGGGGGAGATAATTGCTGTGGGTCTGAGACACAGGTTTTGCCTATGTAACCTGAAATGAGATTTCACAGCAGATCAAATGGTAAAAATGCAGAAGTTTGGTTGTGGTGATTTAGTCCATTGATGTTTATAAATAACCCAAGTTTGATTCTGAGACAACACTGAGTAGAGGAAGTAATTTCATTTAGTAGATGATGTGGTTGTTCAGAAGAAGCTCTTTTCTCGCCCGGGAGAAAGGAAATGCTGAAGTGGCAGTATGTGGAGAGGCAGGTGGAAGCATATGGGAATTTGTTTGTTAGCTGGAGGAACAACACACAGCTGGGCTGTGGATAAGTAGGGCTTCTCAAATGCAAATGAAATTAACTCATGTGTGGAATTGTAAAGTTATAACTAGTGATGTTATTGTTTGAGCTTAATGAAATTTAAGGGTATTCTTTCACTAGTGCTGTTGTAGTCCTACTGACTTTACTGGTGTTGTATAGGTACGGATGAGGCAAACCTTTTCATGAGTGCAGTAGGTTTTCTTTTACACCTTGGTCAACCTACATTAATTGAACAGATGTAGTAGTTTTGATTGTCTGCCTGCACGCTGGTGTCTGCTCTTGTGAGACACTACCTGGAGTACTGCATCCAGCTCCAGGGTCCCCAGTACCAGAAAGACATGAAGCTGTTGGAGTGAGTCTAGAGGAGGGCCATGAAGATGATCAGAGGGCTGGAGCACCTCTCCTGTGAGGACAGGCTGAGAGAGTTGGTGTTGTTCAGCCTGGAGAAGAGAAGGCTCCAGGGAGATCTAATTGCAACCTTCCAGCACCTGAAGGGGGCCTACAGGAAAGCTGGAGAGGGACTGTTTATCAGGGAGTGTAGTGGCAGAACAACAGGTAATGGGTTTAAGCTGAAGGAGGGTCAATTTAGATTAGATGTTAGAAAGAAATTCTTTACTGTGAGGGTGGTGAGGCACTGGAACAGGTTGCCCAGAGAGGTTGTGGATGCCCCCTCCCTGGAAGTGTTAAAGACCAGGTTGAATGGGGCTTTGGGCAATGTGGTCTAGTGGAGGGTGTCCCTTCCTGCAGCAGGGGGGGTTGGAACTAGATGATCTTTGAGGTGCCTTCCAACCCAAACCATTCTATGATTTTATGATTTTTGTGATACAAAGGTAGATCCCAGGGAACAGTCCATCTGACTTGTTCACGTTTGGGCTAAATTGTAAGCAAGTCTGCCACTCTTGAGGGAATATCTCATCCCTGGTAATCAGATCCTTGTTCGGTGTGTTAGTACTTCTTGGTTATTGTCTTAATACTTCTGTCTTGCAGAGAAGAAAACAAATGTTTATCTAAATATGAAGTGAGGACTTTTTTCTAGGTTAACTGTGCTTCTATATTATCCCATTGTTAACCCCCGCTATTCAGAGTCATTGAGGCAGGATTTATTGTCTTGTATAACCACAGATTACTGCTGATCATTTGAGCGACTTCACGTTCCTCTTTGTAAGGTGGTAGTTTCTGTTCTGTACTACAATTCTCATGCATAAAATTGCATGATGTGACCCTTCTCCCCAGTCAGCATATATCCAGTTTTCTATACTTGTAGTTCTTCCTGACATGCTGAGGTTTCTTCTGTAAGTCAACTGGGAAATCTATGCTACGTGTAGTTTTAGTACTGAAGACCTTGAGAGCCTTCATGGCTGATTATGTTTTATTAGATGGTATGTAAATTCTAATAGGCACATGTCCCTCTGGTCTGTCAAGATAGTAATTCTAGTCTAGGACTTCTTGCGCAGAATTCCTCTATAGGGTAGGCAAACATCTGGAAAAAAATATTTTAAGCTCTCAGCTTACTGACAAATGCCTACTGACATTTTCCCATTTGAAATAGTGACTCACCCAAGTTGGTAGAAGTGGAAGAGTCACCCGAGTAGGAGGTTTCTAGTGTTAAGCAACTTCTACCAGGCATAGGAGGGTCTTGAAATTTCTGTAGTATAACCCAGTTCTACCTCAATTCTGCTTTCAAAAAACAATGTTGGTCTGTCAGTGTTGCAGTTTCCTCTTTGCTGGTAGTTCAGGAGGACTGACGTGGCTCATACTGTTCTCTTTATTTCTCCAGTGGAGGAAATCCTCTGATTTTATTTACTTATTCTTTTAGCACATGCAGATGACTATCCAGGCTCTCCAAGATGAGCTGCGGATCCAGCGGGACCTGAACCAGCTGTTCCAGCAGGACAGCAGCACTAGAACCAGTGAGCCCTTTGTGGCAGAGCTGACAGAGGAAAACTTCCAACGACTTCATGCAGAGCATGAACGCCAGGCCAAGGAGCTATTCCTGCTACGTAAAACCTTAGAAGAGATGGAACTGCGTATTGAGACACAGAAACAGACCTTAAATGCACGTGATGAGTCCATCAAAAAGCTGCTGGAGATGCTGCAGAGTAAAGGTCTGTCAGCAAAAGCCACTGAGGAAGATCATGAGCGAACAAGACGGTTGGCTGAGGCAGAGATGCATGTGCACCACTTGGAGAGCCTTCTTGAACAGAAGGAAAAAGAAAACAACATGTTGAGGGAGGTAAGTGACCAAGCTCTGGGTTTGTTCCAATTGTAAGCTCCTCTCTGTCTCCTCTCCATTTCACAGCTGTAAGGAAAGAATCTTTCATCTTCTCTATGAAGTGTATTTTACGTTGCAAACTTGACAGAATTTGTCCTGTTGTTTTAAAACTTCTTTATGTCTTTGTTGCCTGTGCTTTCTGGGGTTTTGTGCTTTAGGCCCCACTTTTTCTATAGTCTCCATATGAAGCTCTGGAGGTGAATTGTAAAATTCATTCTTCCGTTCTATTTCAGTTTGAGAGAAAGTAGCTACCTGTATTTAGGAGAGAGCTGAGAGAAATCTTTGCAGGAGTAATGGATGATTGCTCTAGGGTTTCCATGGAAACAGTCGTCTTGCTGTGAAGGGTATTTGATAAAACTATTAGCTGCCCTGGATGCACAGCCAAAAAAAAGATTACTTAAAGGGGCACTGCTGCACACATAGTAACCCCTTCCCCCCCATCCCTCTGAAAACAGAAAAGAAAAAACATTGTTATATCTGTATTGCACCTTAGAGGAGTACAATGGCAGGCATTCTTCACTATTAATCATTCTAAACTAATTAAAATAAAATATAGGCTACATATCATTATCTTAGAAAAATAAAGGAAAATGAGTTGGTTTGTAGGCAATGTCATTAAGTTTCTTGATAGTTAAATGCATTTTCCTCGTCAGCCACCTTCCTAAAGTATTTTAATATTAACTTCTAAAAGGCTAGTAATTCAATGTGTGTTGTGTGCATACACATGTATGTATGTATATGTGTGTATTCACTAATGATAAGATTTTCTATAATGATAATTTTGCATACATCTGTAGATTGAATGCATGAATTGATAGTTACACGTGTATGTGTAATATGTGTGTGTGAATCTAATGACCTGTTTTGGGCATTGCACGTCTACTTTGTGGTTCAGCATTTTTTTGAAAGCCTGACACATACACAAGGTTTAAGCCTCCTCTCTAAGACACCAGGGAAGCAAGGTCTGGCACAGAGGTTTTTGAGATGAGTATTTGCAGCAAATAAATATTTCTTAATACCTCTTATTCATATGTTTTCTATGGCCTGACCCATTGTACTTGTGCTCTTGCAAGCATTTATATAAGAAAGCTAGAGCCCATTGCATTTCTGAGCCAGATTTAGGACAGATTTATTTTTTTAGAGCAGTAATCTCTTGAGTGTCTGGAGTGAAGATAATATTATTCCAGAGTTTCTACACTACAGTTTTTCCTTTATTTAGCAACCAATGATAATTCTGTTCCAATTCTTGTATCTATTTCAGGAAGAGTCCCAAATGGCTTCCATTTGTTTCTGCTTTAAGTCCAGCAACATAAATGAAAGCTGGCAGGAGCTGTGTAATTTTTTTAGGAATGCAGTTAGTTTTGTTTCTGCTACTGATGAGTAGATGTTAGGAGATAAGAATTCTTGTTTCATTCACACATGCCTGGAAATCATCAATCATTTAAGTCCTAGCCTTGATAATAAAAGTTTTCCTGGAGAAGGTAGAGATGACACTGACTTTGAAAGTGCAACTGCTGTTTATCTAACATTTTAAAATGAATTACTCCTTGCTGCTCTCCCAGCTCTAATGCATTGAGAGGAGAAAGGCAGGTATGCTGTAATTTGTAGCTCAAGCCATTGATATGGTGTGAGATCCAGCCTCGAAGCTGAGCACCCTAGTAGCCCTGGAAACATGGTGCCATGTGCAGAGATGCCAAATTATCTCCTTATGGAACTGGGTCACATCAGGAAGGGTTTTGTTAGTACCTGTGTGTTTTCCTTGAGTTCTGAGCTAGACTGAGCTAACTGAACTCAGTCTTGTCTGCATGAAACTTGGGGGTCATGCCTGGGGCTCCAGGAGGCTGGAGAAAATCAGTGGATGTTGCTGAACTGTAGCTGATTGCATCTGACTTGCTGAGCACCAAGTTGCTCTGCTCTGCAGGATCTGGTTCAGAGTTGCTATCACAGTTCCACACTTGGAAGTTGTCTCTGTGCAGAACCTCTTAGATGTGTCTGCATCACCCTCCTCAGCTAATCTTTAATTATGTGTTTATCTCTATTTTGATAGTTTTAGATTATTTTAGCCCTTTGCTGCCCCAGATACTAACTATGGAATTTTTGAGCTACCTCAAAGAAATCAATCTACTTTCTTGATGGTTCTATATCTAGCATTACCAGTATCTGGAAAGGCATGCTAAACTCTTCTTTAAATACTGCTGTTAAAGGAAGCATTAGTGTCTCAAAGAAATTTGTATGTGCTTGGGAGGTCAATGTTTACGCTTCATGTTCTAATGTATTAGAAAAGCTGAGAAAAACTTTAATAGCAGTTTTGACCATCTTAGCTAAAGCAAGTTCTAAGATGTCAGAATCTACTAGTACTGTTTCTGACTTTACAGGTGTGTTAGACTTCTGGTAAAAATCTTTGCTAAAAAAAAAATAAAGATCTGCATATTGAAGCAAAAAAGTATCCCTCCATTTTTCAACTTTGAAGCCTACATGTAATTCAAAGTGTAATGTTGAGACTCAAGGTCATCAGATGGTTTCTTAGACAGTGCAAATGCAGTGGCCAGCAATCTGACCTTGCAAATTAAATGTGAATTCATTATTTCTTCAGCTATTGCTATTACTGTGATAAAGATTGCACTAATTTCCTAAGGAAAGGAAATTCTCAGAGTTGTGGTTCTGTTAAGATCATAACCAAGGAGTGGCTGTACTGGTTTAGGCCAACAAACCCTTCAGTCCAGCATTCTGTTTCACATAATGGCCATATGCAGACACCCAGGAAAGGGTAAGAACAAGGCAAACATGATACTTCTCTGTAATGCTGTCCCATCTTCCCTTGTCAGCTTAGTATCCTCCATGGATCTGCCATCCAAGTACGTGGTCAGTATCTTCTTGAGCCCACGTAAACTTTTGCAGCTGTAGCGTCATTTGGTAAGTGGTTCTACATGCCTGTTCTCTGTTGCAGGAAGAACCTGCCTCCCAGTAGCTTCATTGACAGCCTCTTGTTCTTGAACTGGAAGACACAGTGAACGGGTGATCACTACCAAGACTCAGTGCCACTCACAATTTTAGATTTGTCATATGCCTTCCAAGTTCTCTCTTTTTCCAGGCTGAAAAGTTGAATGCTACTTAATTGTTCTTCATTTAGAAGATATTGCATATCTTTGATCATCTCCCAGAGCACTGTCTCAGCCTCCCATATCGAGGTTAATAAATAGATTGTCCTGCAGGTAGTGAGAGGTGTCTTCATAAGCAATTTGGCTCTCTTGGGCTTTTCCCCAATATCCTGAATTCCAGGGAACTCAAGCAGTCTTTCCATACAAGTCCGTAGGAGAGATCCTGTATCCAGCATAGGATGTATTTGACAACTCATACTGTGGACAGTCTCTCATTAACACAAAATAATGAAAAATTAAATGTCATTGAACATCTAAACCCAGACATGGATCTGGATGGCCTGACTTCAGCAGATGACAGTGTGGCTGCATCACATTCCTCTACCCTAGAAAACAAGCTTAAGCTTCATAGCTTATAAAAAGAGGGCTGCTATTTTGAATACCCCTTCTTAAGTCTTAGTGCAAATGATTCATATTATTGTTGGTATTCTAGACTTAACTTTCAGAAAGAAAATTATTATCATACCAACAAGAAATGCTTGACGAAATCCAGCAGCTGGACTGCAGCTTCCAGAATAGCTCCCAAGTTACATTAACTGCCACCTCATTGTTCCAGACTCACCTGTTGCAGAGTTATCAGTGATGGCAGTGACAGCACATAGGTCTAAAGATAACGAAGCTTGCTGTGCTCTTTTTGACAACCTCCCTGTTCCCCCACCCAAAATGCTAAATGCACTGGGTAGAAACATGTTGTTCTCGGCTATATGGAGTAATAGATACACCAAATATCAGTGCAACTTATGGCAGAGTATGATGTGATTGTATCCACATCTGGTGTTTTAGACACTTGGAGTACTTTGGGCAAACTATGATTCATAAGGACAGTCCAACATCATTACACCAACTTGGTTAAACCTTTCTCTTTTGAATTGTTCAATAATCTCTGTCTTTAGAAATATATATCTGAGGAAAGAACTGAAATCATAAACTTGTAGCATCACAGTCAATAGAGAGGTTACTTCTTGAGATATTTTGGAGAAAAAAGTTTAGGCCCCATTTCTCATCTGCCTAGAAGAAAGGCTAAAAACAAAACTATGGTACTGGTTCTACCCAAGGGGAACAAAAAGAAGCTGCTCATTGTGTATTATTGTCAGATAACTGGCAAACAACTTTGGCAGTGTTGTCCCATTTTCTTAGTCCTTCACAAGGGGTATTAGCACGAACTTTACAACAGTAGGTAATCTGATGACCTGTTTGTCTCTGGTTTGCTACTGAGCATACATAGTCTGCAAGGCAATTACGCCTTTGTTCACAGCAGTGCTATGGCATATACTAATTGGAGTTTCCAGGATATACTGACGTATCACTGCATTTCCCCAGCTCAGGTAAGGATATCCTTTGATGTCTCAAATCATAAGAACTAAGGAGAGTGCATGAGGGGAAGTTCCCAAATGTATTCTCTTCTTTTCATTGGCCAGTATGCTTATTGTTATCTACCTGATACACCTATGAAGCCGTCAATCCCATCGTGCCTTGTATAACATCGATTCAGAGCCCTGATAATATACATGGCCCTAACTATTGGCTTTTCCTGAAAAGATGCAGTAGAAGTCATGCACAGTGCTAGTTCTTCATCGTTCATAACAGATTTACCACATAGTTGTAATGAAGGATATGTAAGTCCTGCAAGTGACTTGTGATGGGCTGTATGTGTCTGTCATCAATACCTTCAGCAAGAGGTCAAAACCAAGTCTCCCTTTAAGTTAAACTGTGATCTTGTAGGTATAGCATTCTCCTGGGAAAAAGGAGGGGTCGGCTCGAACTTGAAGGCTAAGCAGGTATTGAAGCTGGGGTGAGGTGTTCATTGAAATGTCAGTGCAATAGAATGGCAACATAGTTCATCATAAAGAATGAAACAGCCATGTGATTTGGTAGACAAAAATTAGACAGTTATTCCCTGAACTGTGAATCCAGGTCTGGGACAGATGGCTGACTGCAGCCTTTTATTTGGAAACAGAAAGAAGGCTCTTTATATGGAAGATTTCTTCAGGAGTCAGGTCTAGGTTCAAGGTTTGTATGTTACAGTGGTGTGGAACAAGGAAAGGACCAACAGCAGCTTTGCCCTTTGTGTCACAAAAACAGTGTTTTGTATTAAATTACATTTTTGTATTTTTACTTTTTTAGTAATTGGGCCCATTCAAACAAGATGGATATTTAATACAACTGCAAAGTGCAAGTGCAAAACTGAATTAAGGAGTTAGGGATGTAGCGCGTAAGAAATAAAGGGTGGTTTTGTACGTAAAGCAGTCACTGAAATGGGTCATTCATAAGGGCACTCACTTACAATGAACTTAAGGAAAGAGGCTATGGCAGAAAAAGCTATTATTTCTTTTCATCTTCAGTGTTTGTTGAAATGGCAACCCCACAAAGTCCTGTTTGTGAACTGTATTACAGTTATCTAGTATGGCCTTAGTACAAGAACTGATCCCTGTTTGTAGCTATTTTGAATCGAACAGTGCTCACTTTATTCTAGGAAGTAACACTAAATTTCTTTGAGCACTCTTTATTATGTCTCCACTTAGGGTAGATATCTGTCAGAGTAGCGAGCAGGCGCACAAGGCTGTAACATACGTATACTTTACTTAGCTTTATATTATCGAACTTGATACTGTGATGGCCAAAGAACAGCAGCATGGACCTTAGTGAGAAGGGATGGATGTGCCCTGTAGACGTACCATGCTCAATCAAGAGAAAAGTAGTTTGTTTTATCTGACCAGATTTTAATTAACTGTGACAAGTTTTGCAAAGAATTTCTTTTTTCATGCATGTGTTAAAATTCTTACCCTTTTCTGCTCCAGGCTCAGAGAAGGATTTAGAAATTTTAATTGGAGCAATTAGAGTTATCTCAAACAATACTTTTGTCCTGTTCAAAGATTTTGCAGCATAAATAGGACACACTTTTAGAGACAATCTTTGGTTTGCTGGAGTAGATAGATTCAGTAACTGGAACTCTTAACTACCATCGCGGTAGGAGACATCTTTCTGATGAGTTAAAAAAATTAAGTTTCTGCTTTTGCTGCTGCTGCTTCCTTCTTTTGACATTTTAGAAGGTGATAGCAGGGAGAAGTGATTTAAATCAAGATAATTTAAATAGTTATGTTGTTATTAGAATCACTTGATTTGTCTAGAAATAATTTTAAAACCTATAGAGCTTTTGTAGAACAAAATTTGAGAAAATTTATTCTTTATACATTTTGCTTTTTTTTCACAATTATGAAGGATATCTATGTGCTGCCTTCCTTCAGCAGCCACACTTAAATCTGTGTTCTTGGGAGGTTCAGGCTGCCTGTAGCCTTTTTTTCAGGCTCTTTAGAATCGTAGGCATGTTGCCAAAATTGAGTCCTTACTATGCAGTCAAGAGGTGGGAGGTGGTGTTTTTCAGCAGGTTATATCATCCAAATCACAGTGGAATTACTTAAGATGATAGAAGTAGGACGTTTCCTTTGCCAACGTGCAAAGCATCACTGCAGACAGGGGAGATAAAAGACAATTCTAAAGAAAAAGGTTAGAAGAATTTTCTATTTGGGAAAATGCTGTGCAATGTAAAAAGCAGACACTGTTGTGTCAGCATCCCTTTAATGACGTGCTATTCTCCTACTGTGTATTCCATCTATTCCATTTCCATAGGAATAGTTGCTTTTATGTTCTCAGATCACAGACCGTGTGTCTGCACAACTGGAAATTATCTACTATGTAATTGCACTACTGAAATTAATATATTGTTCAAAATAGACTTAGCATGTTATTTATTTTTTTTACCTTCTTATCTTTTGTTTTCTCAGCTTCTAAAAGTTGACAAGAATTTCTTTTTTCAGAAAATACCACCCTACACTGTGAACATACTTGTAAAAATAGCTTCTCAGGAAATACATTAATATTTAAAGACAGACAAACCTTCTACTGGATTTTCTTGTTAATACCATTCACAGGCATCAACGTAATCAAATGTCCTTGTGCCCAATTTATGCAAAATTCTTCTTGTGGCCCTTGTCATTTTGATCTTGCTCACTTCACAGCTATTTTAGAATACTTAATCTTACAAGTTAAGTAGTGTTTTCAGTATTTTGAAAAGCAGTATACAACTCTACCTTTCTCATTCAAATAATTAAACATATGGAGGAAGTTGCATATCTGACTGCCATACCAAATGTTATCTCTTCACCACATTTATTGAAAATAGGAGTTTGTGGATGCTTTTAGGATTTTTCTTTTAGCAGTTTAAGGGGAGTGGGTGGCTAAACTGTGTGTGGGCACATACACAATTTGTTGTTAGGTTAACTGATATCACAGTTCATATTCTATGGGCACCAAAGTATTTTTATGTCATGTAATACTAACATTCTAACAGTATTCACACTTCTACATTTAAGATTAGTGTGTGGTGTGAGGATAATATTATTTTAAGACAAATAATGATATGGTGGGTTGACCCTGGTTGGACGCCAGGTGCCCACCAAAGCTGCTCTATCACTGCCCTCCCCAGCTGGACAGGGGAGAAAATACAACGAAAGGCTCGTGAGTCAAGATGAGGACAGGGAGAGATCACTCACCAATTACTGTCAGATGAAACAAACTCGACTTGAGGATAATTAATTTAATTTATTACTCTGATTTGATTGGTAATAAGAAATAAAAACTAAATCTTAAAACACTTTTCCCCCACCCCTCCCTTCTTCCTGGGCTCAACTTCACTAATGATTTCTGTCTGCCTTTTCCCCCCTCCCAGCAGCACAGGCGGATGGGGAATGGGGGTTGTGGTCAGTTCATCACACGTTGTCTCTGCCGCTCCTTCCTCCTCAGGGGGAGGACTCCTCACACTCTGCCCCTGCTCCAGCGTGGGGTCCCTCCCACAGGAGACAGTGCTCCACCAACTTCTCTAACGTGAGCCCTTCCCACGGGCTGCAGTTCTTCACGAACTGCTTCAGTGTGGGTCCTTTCCACAGGGTGCAGTTCTTCAGGACCAGACTGCTCCAGCGTGGGTCCTCCTGCTCCAGCACGGGGTCTTCCATGGGCTGCAGGTGGAATCTCTGCTCCACCATCAACCTCCATGGGCTGCAGGGAGGGGACAGCCTGCCTCACCATGGTCTTCTCCACAGGCTGCAGGGGAATCTCTGCTCTGGCGCCTCCTCCCCCTCCTTCTGCACCGACCTTGGTGTCTGCAGGGTTGTTCCTCTCACATATTCTCACTCCCCTCTCCTCAGTCTGCTGTTGCACAGACTATGTTATCCCAGATGCGCTACCACTGTTGCTGATGGGCTCAGCCCTGGCCAGCGGCGGGTCCGTCTTGCAGCCAGCTGGCATTGGCTCTATCGGACATAGGGGATATGTCCTTCTTCTCACAGTAGCCACCTCTGTAGCCCCCTCGCTATCTTGCCATGCAAACCCAATGCAAATGAAAAAGTGGAATAGATACTATATTGTTTATCCTGTATTCCCACTTGTTGGTTTGAAACCTCTAACTACTTTATGGGGTAGAACAAGTTGTTTCAGCTTTCTATCATTTTATTCCTTAGTGAGCAGTCTGAAGCATGTTAGTTCTGTGAATTCACCAACAGAAATATCACATGGACTTTTGTGTCCTTCTGTCTGTGTACTCTGAGCTTCTAGAGCAATGTGCTCTCCTGTCGTGTACCTTCAGCTACATTCAAGGCCCAGTGGAGAAAGATTTTCATTATGCATAGTTAAACATTGGTACTCTGGGGTAAAAAAGTTGGAAAAAGAGAGTTATCAACACGACTGCACCCTATAGCTTGCTGAAACAGAAACCACAGCATTGTTGTTTTCAGTAAACATCTAGTCAAATAAATAATGTATATGTCTTCCATGAGAAACTACTAAGAATTTAGATTAGTTTATCGGTAAGATGACAGGGGTTTTTAGTAGACTCAGCTGTCACTTCAGCAGTTTATTTTGAGTAAGTAGGTAGTCAAAGATGCAGTTTCTGTTGTGCCTTTTTAACTGAGGCTGTGATTCTGTTGAATGAACTTTCGCCTATCCTTTCTTTGATATGAGAGATGATAAAACAAAATGTATGAACTGGTAACATCAGAAAGCAGCAGCACTGAATTATGCTATGTATTAGAAAGAGAAGCTTCTAGTAATTTTGTTTGTGGGACACAATGCCATTAGGCTAACTCTTGCTTTCTTTTCTGCTGGTACAGGAGATCCATCGTCGATTTGAAAATGCTCCTGACACAGCCAAGACAAAGGCTCTGCAAACCGTTATTGAGATGAAGGTAAATGATTGCATATAGGCAGTAGTAGAGTTTGTTTTCTGGAAAATGGTTTTTCATGTGAAAGATGACTCTACCAAATACCATATACTTCTGTCAGTCTTCTAAGTTAAAATAAATATATTTATTTTATT